AAAGTAAAACATAGTAAAATAATTCTCACGACGTTTCGGCCACAACGCAAGCAACCGTCCTCAGGTGAAAACCAGGTCTGTCGGGGAGACAGCGTCTGAATGAAACAGCACACGCTGTCTCCCCGACAGACCTGGTTTTCACCTGAGGACGGCTGCTTGCGTTGTGGCCGAAACGTCGTGAGAATTATTTTATTATGTTTTATTTTTATTATTTTATTACTTCCCTTCTACGTGACTTTACCGAAAGAACCAAGAAGATGAATCCCTGCAGTCACAAAAGCTTTAAATCGAAAAATGGCCAATACACATCACGTAAATAATTGGTAATTCCAAATTGCTCTATGTAATTCCAATTAAACAATAATATTGTATCTCCTTCCTCTGTCTGCCCTGCAACTTTCCTCATTATATGTTTTTGTAACGTCCTTTCTCCTTTGAAAAGCCCACACAATGTAAATATCCCCCCCCCTCATATGTACAGCGCCTTGAGATGCAGTCACGCTTAAACGGTTTATAAATTAAAACGGAAGTGGTAAATGATTCTTTTCAGAATTTTGAAGTAGTGTACGAGAGAGAGAAAAGGTCACGTAAAGATATATATCTCGCTCTTGGATGATCATGAAAAACCGTAATCAATTTCAACTGTGCACGTAGTTTATGCAAATAGGTTAGGTGATTATAAAAAATTACTACGTAAAAAAAAACTGGGTGACACACAGTAAATGGGTCTGGCATGGGTGCTGGCAATGCCACAGTGTGCCATGTCGGCCTTGATAAGCGCTCACTGATAGCCCGTGAACAGTCTGTAAAGACAAATGAATGGTCCTTGTGCACAGTGGATGGGTAAGCAGGGGTTGAGAGCATCTCCCACAGATGTGTGGCTTGCATACTCAAATAATTGTTCCTGTGAAAAGAGCAATTAAAAAATATATCAAGACTCAAGTGCGTTCCCCGTCTGTAGATTTCCCAGCTGAGAGGCCAATTCTGTTCTCATTATATTCAAATAATCTTGGACTAAATTTAAATCACTCATAATTAAATCCCTTTGCTGATGAGAATATCATGCTAGGAGCAGATAAATATTCTAAAGAAGTCAAACAACATCTCCTACACGATCTTGATTTATTTCAACATCAATTGTCAGAAATAAAATTGCTCCTTCATCCTAAAAACACGATGATCATGGTCTTTTCCTCAAACAAAAAACCTGTTTCATTCTCTTAACCTAATACTGATATCATAAATAACATAATTGAACAAACGGAATGCTTCAAAACTTACATTCCAACCCCATATTGAATAGGTGACAGCCTTTGCCATTGCAGCACCAACGTTTTGGAACAACCTTGTTTCCTATTCATATTCTTAGGTTTTTTCTGTAAAGTCACGTAGGTAAAAAATTAAAATTAATAAAAGTAAAATAAAATAAATAACCTTGTTTCCTCCGTTATTTTGCAGCAGAAGATTAGTGTTGAATACAGCCACATTTGCAAATATTATTTGTAAATGTAATCCTTAACAATGTATTGAGAGTTAAATTTTAATATACACATTTGTTTTAATGAAGAGACTGTGTGTTGTCTTGGCATGTTCTGGGACTGTTTTTGCTGTCGCTTTACTGCCTTACCGAAGATTGGGAATTAATTATGCAATTAGAACTTATATACTTTATTTATTTATCAAAGGGGTTCCACAGTGGTGAGATGTGATCTTCCTCGCCTGCTATGTAGGAGGTCGGATGTTCTATCCCGACCCCGACGCCTGCATATTTGGAGCTTGCATGTTCTCCCCGTGGTCCTCCGGTTTTTCCCTCCGCATTTAAAACATGCATTGAGATGATTAACATTGTGTTGGTGCTCTGAATGTCCAAATGATGGGCCACTTTGTTGAGCTATCATTTGTGGCCTGGTCACTTCTGAAAAATAAGTTAATACCTCGGTGGGCTTTGTCTGGTAGAATTAGGATGGTTTAGTTTTAATTGTATGTGTTTTTGGGTGATTTATTTACCTTTCTTGTACTTTGCACTACTGTCGTGTGTTTGTACTGTTTGTTGTTGTGTAATGAGAGCTATGTCCGGCTCACGTGGTGATTGGCTCTGCCGGTCCTGCTCTACAGCCAATGGGGGGAGAGCTTAGGAGCATGGCCCTGGCGTGATCGAGGGATGTCAGCTCGGGTGATTGGTTCTGCTGCTCTTGGCCTCAGCCAATGGGAAGACAAGTCAGGGGCGTGGTCCCGGGAGTTGATGGGGAATCTGGAACATTCAGCACAGGCTATTAAGGATTGGCTGGAGCGTACCACGTGACCTAGGCAATAAATAAGGCAAGAGCCGAGGGACACGTGGTCAGACGAGGAACGAAGAGAGAGAGGGGTGTCACGCGTGAGCGGGGCTCCGAGTGCCACGTGGCGGTGCGTCTCTTGCAATCTGTCTGCCCACTTCCCGTTGCCTGCCAGCAACGGGGAGTGCTTGTGAACTGAGGAAAGTAAATAAAAGGACCGATTCCACAAGCCATCTCCAGAGTGCTATTACAGTTGTAACATTCTTACCCGCCCCTACTGGACATCTGTGAAAAATTGCTTTAAAGCTCATCGGATTCCTCCAGTAAAAATAAATATTCTGATTATGATTCTGACAAAGCAGTAAAAAAAAGCCAAGGACATGAAGCTTTATTCAATTTAATGTCCATAGTGGGACCAATTCTGCACTACAATGGCAGAGTGTGCAAATAAACAAAATGTTATATATTTGGAAGGAAATTCATGCACCACGGCACCTCACAATAAAAGTAAATATAACATTTGGCACACGCTGAGGGCATCGTATAACATGTCACAGTTTGCAGTGGCTATAGTTCAAAATGTGTTGTATGTGCCAGATGCTCTTCGCAATAGGGGTGGATATGAATGACTAACCTCTAATCATGATGATACACATGGGAGCTGCTTAGATCACCTAGTGGAAGCCCATGATGGTCGTGCAGTCATAACCATCAACGCCATCATCATCATAATTCATCACTGATGCCTAGTATTGTGATTTCGATTTAAAGCTTTCGTGACTGCAGGGATTAATATTCTAGTTTTTTTTCTTTCAATTTTACTTACTGTGGTTTTCACACCTGATGATGATTGCTTGTGTTGCAATCGAAACGTTGTGAAAATTGTATTGTTTTATTTTTATTATTTTATTATTTCCCTTCTACGTGACTTTACCGAAAGAACCAAGAATATGAAAATAGTATTGTGATGTTCACCATTTCAACTGACTTGCTATTTTATATGTGTGTACTATAAATAAGTATACTGCAGAAGCACATGACTGCTTATGAGGCACTTTATCAAACGAGGTTAACATCCTATAACCGAAATAAATATAGATTTAGTGATTTTCAGTGCAGTATAAGTTACCACTGACACACTGCCCATATTGAACATTGCTCAACTAAATGTGGAAAATGAACAATTCCTTGCAATGCATTCAGAGTACTGGCGCGATCATTGTTACCACCAAGATAAGGTTTAGTGTAAAGCGATTGTACGAGCTCTTATATAATGTATGAAAGGTTGAGCTTAACGATGCATATACTAAGAGCATTATCATTCATCTAAAATACGTACAAAACAATTATTACATAAAAGTTCGCTTTGTTATATGTCAAGGAAACAATGTATGTGACAGAATCTGGATTTGAAGCTTTCGTGACTGCAGGAATCCATACTCTTTGGTTCTTTCAGTAAAGTCACGTAGGTAGAAAAAATAATAAATCACGAAGTTTCGATCGCAACGCCTGAAGACGATTGCTTGCTTGACAGAACTTACAATTATTCGCCACCTACCCCACCAGTCAGGGCGGAAATAGCCACAAGCAGCGCTTTCCTCCACAATAAACTTAGGACAACCAATATCCAAGAACACACAAAGTACAATTTGGTCTGAACACCAACAATCTCTGCTTGTAAAATGCAACATGAAATATTTACTGTTTGCAGGAAGCTCAGCCATTAAGCTCAATGTTTCCCCCCTGATGGACGTTTAGCATGACTGATCCTACAATTTGTCTAATGCCCAGCGTTTACACAGCTGGAGAATTGCAACATTAATGAGTGCTGGTAAAATACCTTGGGATGCTGATTTACATGGTATGATAATGACATTCAACTTAATTATTTAAAGTAAAACAAAAAATACCTTTCCTACGTGAGAGGTTATACACGAGAGAGAGAGAGAGAGGCAGTGACGGAGTTTGAATGCCACTGAGCAGCCTCTTACCTTCGTGTGAGGTTATACACGAGAGAGAGAGAGGCAGTGACGGAGTTTGAATGCCACTGAGCAGCCTCTTACCTTCGTGTGAGGTTATACACGAGAGAGAGAGAGAGGCAGTGACGGAGTTTGAATGCCACTGAGCAGTCTCTTGCATTCGTGTGAGGTTATACACGAGAGAGAGAGAGAGGCAGTGACGGAGTTTGAATGCCACTGAGCAGCCTCTTGCCTTCGTGTGAGGTTATACACGAGAGAGAGAGAGAGAGGCAGTGACGGAGTTTGAATGCCACTGAGCAGCCTCTTACCTTCGTGTGAGGTTATACACGAGAGAGAGAGAGAGAGCAGTGACGGAGTTTGAATGCCACTGAGCAGCCTCTTACCTTCGTGTGAGGTTATACACGAGAGAGAGAGAGAGAGCAGTGACGGAGTTTGAATGCCACTGAGCAGCCTCTTACCTTCGTGTGAGGTTATACACGAGAGAGAGAGAGGCAGTGACGGAGTTTGAATGCCACTGAGCAGCCTCTTACGTTCGTGTGAGGTTATACACGAGAGAGAGAGAGAGGCAGTGACGGAGTTTGAATGCCACTGAGCAGCCTCTTGCCTTCGTGTGAGGTTATACACGAGAGAGAGAGAGAGGCAGTGACGGAGTTTGAATGCCACTGAGCAGCCTCTTACCTTCGTGTGAGGTTATACGAGAGAGAGAGCAGTGACGGAGTTTGAATGCCACTGAGCAGCCTCTTACCTTCGTGTGAGGTTGGAATTCTTCCATCAGCTTCTTGAGAGGGTTCTCATAGTCCACCACCATCTGGCCCAGCCTGGGAAACTCTCGGTCACTGCATTACGTCATCCACAGAGTAAAAAGAAAAGAGATAATTCCAGTTGCTTTTCTCTATATATATAGATGATATTAACTCACCACAATCTTGAGATAAAACACGCACCAAGAACAAGAGTTGACTGTGGGATGTTTAGTCCGTCTCTTCTGGTTGGAATTCTGTGGCACGAAGTGTGGGAATGTAAATCTTCTCTCTGTGGCTGATGTCAACGCACAGCAACAACTATACTTTAACAATGAGGTGGTTGAGCCAGATAAATTGCGTCAGCAAATCACTGCATCAGGAATCACTGCGATGCCTCCTTTGCATTTATGAATCGGGTCACTACTGACGATGCGCTCCCCAAATTTCACCAGGCTCACTGTTCATGAACTCTTGGAAGTGCTTGCACAAAGGAGAGTAACATCTCATCCTGTGTTCTTTGGAGTCGTTAAATGTTCCATGGTTCCTTTCTGGGTGAGCACATTCGCACACCGGATCATTTTTCAGTTTCCATTTAGGCGTAAGGTATCGGCATGAGCCATAGTTTATGCAGATGTGGTTTTCGGTTTGCCCATAAGCTTCGCGGAAATATTATTTAAGATTTGTAAATGTCTAGTTAGGATACACTTGAACGCATGTGTCCATCGCTTGGGCTACACCCCAACATAGACGGCAGTCTTAATTTAGTTTCGCTCAATGTTTCAATGTGTGAGATGCAGAATGTTATCCTCGTTCAGCGAATGAACAATGTCACCAACGATTAACAATTCCTCTTCATTGTGCTGCGAGCCACGCTTGTGCATTTAATGGGTTTGCGTTAAATCTGACAACCCCAAAATGATGAATTGTAGCAAGCTATTTTTGGTGTATAAAAAAGAAAATCCGCATTATATTCAGTGTCATTTCATTGCACTGTTAAATCTGAAGGCTGTTAAAAACCACAAACATTCAATGGCGCACTCTAGAAATAGCAAATGCACCGTTCTCAACGACATTTTGTTTAGCGCGTAGCAGGCTTTCGCGACCAATATTATTAATAATAAACGGTTTTTGAGTTAGATCGCGTAAGCATAAATGTGTCGTAACCCTCCACCACCCGACACAGCCAGTTAGGTTTGTCACGTAAACAAAACGTGCCAATTAATTACTACTTCAACTCACCGGTGTGTTGGAGAATACATCCACAACATTTACAATTTTGAGTACGCCGACGTTTCGCTGGTAATTACATCCAGCATCATCAGGCGATTTGCCACAATATTGAAACAATCCACCTAATTACATTTTACTGGTAGGAACCTCCTGGTTACACCAGCCCACAGGGATTATTGTGTCCGTCGTGCAGGGAGGGGCTGGGAGGGGAGGGAGGGGCTGGGTGGGGAGGGGAGGGTGGGGAGGGGCTGGGTAGAGAGGGTGGGGCTGGGTGGGGAGGGGCTGGGTGGGGAGGGGCTGGGTGGGGAGGGTGGGGACGGGCTGGGTGGGAAGGGGCTGGGTGGGGAGGGTGGGGCTGAGTGGGGGGTGGGAGGGGTGGGGCTGGGTGGGGAGGGGCTGGTCACCCCGTAGTGCCCTTATAAAACTCAACGTTTAACCTACTCACGCCGGCTTGTGCCTGCCCTCACAGTCGGGCATATTTGCTGAATACACCACGCCGCCATTGACCCTCGCCATTGACCGAGCAACCCAACGTTCCTACCAGCTCCCTTCGCAGGAATGTGTAAAACAAACCTGAGAGGGAGACCTGCACCATAAAACAGGAGCTTACCTGCTTCCGTGAGTCATCTCGTGGGCATAGTTATACAGACCCATGATCGCTTTTCGGTCCTCGATTCGAGACAGCACGATCATAATGGTGACGTAGTTCACGACCAAGTCAAGGTAGTTCTTTGTGAGGTCAAAATTCACGGTCTGGGAGACAGCACATGCAAGAGGAACAAGGGGCAAAAAAAACAATAGGCTTGCAGAGTCTTACAAGTGCAGTCAATTGTTACTGTCATTAGTGCCGCAGGCTGCAGAAAAGGCAATAACTGCAACTCCACGCTTTATTTTTAATGAAATTCTAAGTTGTTTACAAGTGCAAATTCACAGCGAGTTCTGCAATGCACCATAACACTCGATTATGTTGCCTGTGAATGAGCTTTGTACGTCAGCTAAAAGTTACCGCATGTTTTGAAGGCAAAAATACCAAACAGTCTTGCTACAACCCTCTGCACTCATTTACGTTTTGCACATTTTTGATGATTAACGCAAGTTAATAGAAGACTTCAATCACACACCCGCGCACATAAAGAGGCCCTTTCACTCGTTCTAAACACCAATGGAATGAGTATTTGTCGTTCGTCCAATGCACAGTTTTATAACAGAAAACGATTGCTTTTCACTACTGGCCACTGAAAGACATACACTGCACGTAGTGACAGCATTCAGTGCAAGCTCAGAACGTGCTTGGATAATCTGAGTGCTACAGGCCATGTGATCCATCCATCTTCAAAGTAAAATGCTCAAGACCCTCAAATGGTTTTGGTCAAGGCAACACACCCGAGTTAGCAAAGGAGCCTCTACGGCACTGATCAAGGGAAGGTTTCAGAGTTCTATCTCTTTGGATAATGTTGCAACCTTTGCTGCGGGGAACTAAGAGTGGCAAAGAAAAGTGTAATCTTAGGTCGTGTTTTACTTCTATTGAAACGTACTCACTGTGGAAGCATTCAATGAACCTAAATTAATCTCAAAAGTAATTTTTTTACAGCAACAAAAATACCCTGGCATGTACAGTTTATGAAAAAAAAGGCAGTGATATCCTGCTGAAATGGGCATTTAGGCAGTGGTCACCGCCTGAAGCAATGTAGAACTCAACTTCAAAATTAGATGTTAATTATTTCCTTAGTTAATGTATTTTTTTCTCAAAGCTTAAGATAAAACGTTAACGTAGATTGTATTCACAACACAAGAAGACGTTTTGCTTCTTTTATGTAAACAAAATAATATTTAGAAAATCCTAAATAATTCTGGTGAGAAAAAAAAATTCCTTCATAAATCAACATCGATAAAACCAATTATGCGAATCATGAAAATACATAAAAGCATTCAGAATTACAACCTGATCTATGAAAGTTAATAAATCATCCATCTAAACAACATAATGTGTTACATTATATATAATCTCAAAATTCATACAGCACATGCAGCCTAGAAACATATTTTTATAGATATATAATTGCATGATTGTAAGTTACTGTAGCTTACATAACGATTATTTTTTTCGTGCCATCTGCTCTAGAGTAAGACAAAGATCCCCCGTATAACCTAAACAGGCTGTTGGGGCAAGTGCTGTTAAGCGAGCACCTATGAAGGCTGGCCGGGCACAAGAGGGGGTGGGTGGCCAACACCACGCCCGGCCATCTTTGTCTCCCCAGTGGCGATGTTTACACACCGCACCAGGTACTCATTTAATATAATCGTCGCTGGTGTTGGTGGTCATGAGTGAGAATTGAAGTCAGGTCACCGGCTTCGTAGCGTAACGCGCTAACCGCTACACCCACTGTTCCCGAGAAAACACACGTACAACGAGCAGTTGGAAATCAAATTTCGATATATTCCGCTGGATTTCCGACTACCCTCCTGCCGTGTTTAGGACAATTTATCTGTCTGAATGTTCATAATGACCAAGATTACTGCTGAAAAATGTGAATCTACACCAGATCCTCGATGGCTGCTGTGTGCATATCACATATACTAAGATAACCAACGTAGTGAAAATACAAGGTTTGTTTGTGATCAGAAAGTATACTTTGTGTTTACCTACAATGTCAAAATATATTTGAGATGCATCGATGGTGTTCAGCTGCTCAGTGACGTGATCCTGCAATACAGAAAAACACACGCGTTCATATTTACTCTACATTCATATGAATGTGTTAGACATTGTTATCCATACCAGAACATTGAACAAGTCTGCATTATCTCATGAAAAAACACAAATGACCGTTAATGAAATTGTCCAATAATTTTGTTACAAACAGCAATAAAGATTGCTTCGAAAACAGTGTCAACGAATAGTATTTTGTATGTACATTCAATCTACAATATTCTCCGAAGGAATGCACATTGACATGATTCCTTTCAATGTTCCAAGAGATACAATTGACTGAAAAATAATTGCCACTGTGCACAACAACGAAATTCACAGTGACCTATTTCTGAACTTCAGTATAGATAAGACAGATACGTTATTTCCTGCAAATTTAATAACGACAAAAATACAAAGTTCCAGTCTTCCGTTATAAAAAAAAATTTCTAAACGGTAATTAAACATTTGGGTTGATGCTATCAGCACTAATTCATATGTTTGCAAATGGGGCTCTGCCAGAAACATTTAAGCACTTTCACACAATTGTGTGCAGAGGTCAGCATTTTAAATGTGCACTGAAAGACCAAATTATAACACTGAAACCTTACATCTTAACTTTATAAGACTAGGTTTTACCGTTTCTGGCAATAAAACAGGTGTTAAGATGTTAAAACACCAAACAGAATCCTTTAGCAAGGAATCGTGTCTGCATTGACCACATATACTTGTGGTGAACATGCAAACAAAAACAGGGTAAAACCTATATTCTTGGTTCTTTCGGTAAAGTCACGTGGAAGGGAAATAATAAAATAATAAAAATATATTATTTCCCTTCTACGTGACTTTACCGAAAGAACCAATAACATGAATCCCTGCAGTCACGAAAGCTTTAAATCAAAGGGTAAAACCTATTCTTCTATTTTGATACTGGCAAGGGAGGTCATATGATTTAACTTTAGTTGACGTTTCTATATTTAAACAGCTCTTCAACAAGTATACACAGTGATGGCATTGGTAAGTCAATACAACAGTTTTGACTAAGCTGAAAAGCAAAGGTCCACATTAGATCAATGTATTACGGTTTTATGCCTCGACCAATATACATATATAGGATTGTTTTGTTCCAACGTGTTCATGCCAATGTAAGAGAGTGAAGGCTGTTGCACAGTGGTTAGTGGCAACAATTTCTGGACCAGTTCTTGTTTCCCATCTCCTTCAGCAAATTGCACTGGCAAGTGAAGTGAGTATGGGCCAACAATCCCCATGACTGGCACAATATGGGGAGGCTTTCATCCAGCAGTGAACTGACAAATGGATGTAAAATGAAAATTCACAATACTATTTTTCGTTTAATTACAAATAAAAAAAACATGCTCTTTACGTGTCATGTAACATATTTGCTGAGAATTAATTGTTTTTAATCTTGCAGTAAATGGCAATGTTGGTCTTTGAGTCAAGACAACTCTAACTTTGAGATGGGCTTTTAAGACTGAGTGAGCTCAATCCATCTGCATCGCTGCACATGAGCACTCTTCCAGCCATAGAATAAATGTTGACATTTCCCATGTCCATTTGAGAATAAATGCAGGCCTCGGTGGCTCTGACTGTACCACAAAACCATCAATATCCTGCAGACAAAAGCAACCATATGGAGGGGCATTGTACATGTATGTGCCTAAATTCATGTTTACGTTGGTTGTAATTTGGATAAGTAATTACGTTTTCAATTCGTGGAACCACCAGGATGTTTTGAGTAAAATTATTCTTGCGTCTGAGCAAAACAAGCAAGTTTAGTGTGCACATTTTTTTCCATGAAAACTCAAGCAGCTGTTCACAGAAAGCTTCACACATTTAATTTATATATATAAATGCACTCACCCTGAAGTCCATGATATCCACAAATGTGAAGTAGTAAAGTGCCAGGTTCTTGAGGATGTCTGACTTTTGGTTTTGGACAGGAGCCAGCTGTTGCTGGTGGAGAAAACATTTTAAAATAGATTAATTAATTCCACACTTATAACCTGTTCACAAATGCTGCTGCGACAACAAAACAACGGAGGAAGAACTTCATCAAAGCCGAGTCAGCCATAAACATTCTCCTTAAATACAAAAAAAATGTAACGCAATTCTGTCCAACATTATTTACTTATTGAGATGTTGTGGTTTCACGCTTCAACACACCGGTGGGCTAAAGCAGTGAACTATTTGTCTTTTGTCAACGTGACACTTTTTTACTGATTGGCCGTGTCGGGTGGTGGAGGGTTACGACACATTTATAAATAACGCGATCTAAACCCAAAAACGTTGATTATGAATAATATTGGTCGCGAAAGCCTACGTGTTAAACTTATTGAGATGCATAACCTAATTTACAAGAGGGACCTGGGAAATGATGATCATGATTGCTTTCAAATAGTCATGCTTTGGAATCTACCGCAGCTGAGGTTATCCTTCAGTTTTAAAAGTTGGGCAATAACACAAACACAAAACGTAGCTTACTCTTGAGAATGATGCCACAGGCTCATCATTGTCGTCTCTGCATCGTCGATTTGCTTTGTAAATGACTGGGTGGCTGCGGGAATGAAACCGCTGCCTCTGGCACAAATAACTCGGTGGCGAGCGCGCCAACCACAAGCCCACCCAGCCACCCCCTCTCAATACGACCTGAGTTACTTCACACCGACCACTCGATCCACTCGACACTTCATTCGAATGGAAGGGATGTGTACTGATCTCGTACCATAATTAGTATAATTACACACACATTTATTTTAGGGATCTCTACCTCGTGAGAACCATTCCCAGACCCATCCAGGTGTAAATGCGTGACACTTCATGGGGGAGGGGGTGTTACTGCAGACCACACACGTGTTTAAATTTACCACGGCACAACCACAGCTAATTTTGTGAATTTTTTTTATGAGCTGCTGCTGCTGCTGCTGTACAACACCATAGAGTCAGGGGACTGACGAACTGTGCATGGGAATTAATAGTGAAATATTAGGTCTCGGTAACATAATAAAATGGCAGAGAATAAAAAAAACGAAAACAACAATATTGATAATCTCTTTATCGCTTGACTTTTGCTGGAGGCTGATGTAGTCACTGCTTATCGGTGTATATGAATTTAATTAAGTATAAAAAGTGTGCTGGCAATTCGAGGAATATCACCATTCACAGAGGGATAAAACCCCCATCTGCTCAAAGGAAGTCTACAAAAAACTCAAGCAGACAACAAACAAAAGTGCATGTCATTTTACATTCCTCGACTTCGATGTGAAACCACAAGTCAGGAAATACATTTCCAATAAATCTTTACATTGTTCTTCGTTTTACACAGTTCGGAAATGCAAATATAAAAACCACGAAATGTTTTATTACCTTAGAGGTGGAAGTTTTTTTACAATTTCACAATTCGATTCTATAAAGCCATTCCCAGACCATAGTGCTGTCTCGCTAGAAGAATTTATTTGAACGAACGAAGTAAAATTTAAATGTTTGCGTCATACAAGAGTGGCATCTGGTGATATTGGGCACAAAATTGCTGTGCAATTCACATGGCACGTTCCATGGCTATGGTTTGAGCCAAGACTAAGGGTTGGACCATACATGTGTAATGACAGGGTGACACCTGCCGGCACGAAGGGGTAACTACGGTTATGACTGCATTACATAATGCCTTATTATGAAGGGCCGTATTGGGGGTAAAGGTCAAGGGCAGAGTCAGTCGAGAAGCTCCGGGAACCAACCCGAAGGTTCTAGAAAGGGGGCATGGCCAGAGGTGGTGCTTGGCCGCGCCAGGCAGATATAAGGAGCACCGAACCAGAGCTTGGGGGCTGTTAGCGTGGGGTCTGGGTCCTGGTTGCGTCGCTGTCGTCGTGATCTCTTCGTCTTTGACCACGTGGTTGTTCTTCTGCAAGAGCAGCTCCGCCGCTACGCTCGTCAACCAGCCAGCGTAGCGCAGCACGGAGATGGGCTGTGTGTTTGGACAGCCCGGCTGTAGCCGCGTTACGAAGTGTATCGTCCTGTGTGCTCTTAATAAATAAGAAGCCTTCCACTCGACGTGTGTCAGAAGTCGCTCACTACACACGTAACATTAGCTCATGGCTTGCTGCTGCATTACACCAAAGCCTGGGTGTATGTATGTGTCGTGCATGATTACGCAAATGAGGAGTCACATGAATACAAATCAAGTGAAGGCTGTAACTAATTTTCAAAATTACGCCCCAGGCTTCTGTTTATAAACAAATCTCTGTGAAGTACCATTTTGCCGTGCAAATATCAACTCCTGCACTGTATTTGTTTGCAGGCATCTATCGTTTTAAAAAAAAAACAGATCATTAAACATATTTCCATGATTTCACCACTCTACAAAATCTCTTTATGTTATTCACTGTATTTCAAAACACAACACTGTTACAGAATTGTCCAATGAGTTTACATTAACCCGCATTATGTAGTGTGGGTTCATTTACACAGAGACATACTGCATTTTCAATACAGCTGACGCAGCTGATGCGATTGTCATTTTAACGTAAACATTTATTTTACGTAAAAGTGTTTCCCTGCTCAAATGAGTGTGGAATGATGCTCCTCTCTGCTAGCAGTCCCTGAGGCAGTGATGCAAATTCCACAATCCCATGGTAGGAGCTAGTCTATCCATAAGAGGACCATTGTCACATATCTGTTGTTTTATTGCCATTCAGTCATATTTGTTACTGAGTGGAGCGATCTTGGTATGTCGATGTGTGCTGGATAGATTGAGCATTTAATGTTCAAATGTACAAGACCAAAGCACCCAGAATGTAACCTATTTCATCACATCTCAGAAACTCAGTAGGATTGAGCCTGGACAATGCTTAGATGGGTGATCATCATGGATATAAAAAAGTTACTGCAGGATGGCCCAGAGCTATATTATTAGAAATGGGAAAATCAAGTTGTACTGGACTATGATGAATCTATACTTCCCATTGACTAACCCACAATGATCAAGCATGGTGAAATATGTAAAAAAAAAACACCATGGTCTGCACAGTGCACTGGGATGACATATCGATGTACATGAACATTATATATGTTCTGTGTAGAAGGGAAATAATAAAATAATAAAAAATAAAACATCATAAAATAATTCTCACGACGTTTCGGCCACAACGCAAGCAGCCGTCTTCCCGACAGACCTGTTCTTCACCTGAGGACGACTGCTTGCGTTGTGGCCGAAACGTCGTGAGAAAAATTGTATTATGTTTTATTTTTTATTATTTTATTATTTCCCTTCTACGTGACTTTACCGAAAGAACCAAGAAGATTAATCCCTGCAGTCACGAAAGCTTTAAATCGAAATTTAATGTTCTGTGTAATCAATAATTTTTTGGGATTAATTGAATATAATAGTAGTAGCATTTAAGAATTTGAAAAATATTTATATCATAAACTAAGCTCATGTGGATAACCATATTACATTTATTGATTTCAGCTAAACCCATGTTTTATGACGTGAAAGTTTGAATTACACTTAACCCAACGAGACAGATTTCCCAATGCCAACATCAGTTGTTGTTTAAAACAAAACTGGGAGCAGAAATAAAGAACATTGCACTTCTTACAAAAGATAAATAATGCCCCCCCCCCAGCCCACCTTTCATCATGTCATACTACAACAGAAAAATATTTATCTGGCTGGCGGTGATGACATCCCTCACATCCCACAGCGTGGAACCAGGTTCGTGCGTAACGCTGACATCACCACACCTTCTACCCACCCTCCACCATGGCCATGCACCCCGTGTAAATACATGGGCAGTGCGAGTTTATTTTAAAAAATGTATCTGACCGACACTTTTAAATTCCAATAATTAAGGACACATAAGATCCGTACGTGTATTGTTGCAAGTGCACCGTGCGTCAGAAAATTCGAATGTAGAAAATGTACAACACAAATGTGCATGTGTAAATATTTTCGTTGTTTATGCGAAAAAAAAAATTTCTTTTTTTAATTGAACCCACAACCGCGATCATGATAGAGGGCATAACATCGTACATGCTGGGTTTCCATATCGAGGAGTTGCACCCTCTGGGTATTCATTTCTCTCCAAACATGGGCTATTTAAAGTGCTTCGGGTTACTTTTATAACCAATGCGGGTTGGGGGTAGGGAAGGGGGAGAAGGAGGTACATTTTAACCTTCTTAAAACAATTCATATCATGGAGCGGCCTTCTTCTCCAAACCAAGATCACACGTTAACTGTCAGAAGAAAAACGTGATTGTGCATGCATTTCACAGCGGTGACCGCGAGAGCACGGAGATGCTCCTCTTCCAACTGCTGTGCAGATACACGCTTGTCGAATAGCACTTCTACCACTGAGTGATGCAGTGATGGGGGTGAACATTGCTTGCCACTGTGGCAACATTTTCTGAATGGTTAAACAAATTATTTGTTGAGGCTGCTGATGCTGATGATGATTTGGCATTGGACCACAAACACAATTGACAAGAACAAAACTCGCACATTTGTCAATGACACTGTGGCCTTAAAAGAGAGAAAATTTATAATTGGTGACGTTTCCAGCAATTGCCTTTCATCATTGCAGAAACGGTATAGTCACCTCAAAAATGATAAATAATTATGGTCGTCTGAAGTTGCATTAAGCAAATTCATTGTTTATTATCCAACGTGAATATAGCTAGGATTTCGATTTAAAGCTTTCGTGACTGCAGGGATTCATCTTCTTGGTTCTTTCGGTAAAGTCACGTAGAAGGGAAGTAATAAAATAATAAAAATAAAACATAATAAAACAATTCTCACGACGTTTCGGCCACAACGCAAGCAGCCGTCCTCAGGTGAAAACCAGGTCCGTCGAGGCGACAGAGTCTGAATGAAACAGCACACGAGCTTGGAGCATATATATAAGCTGGGCGCATTGACAAAGGAATTTGCATATCAAAAGGAATTTAGCATATTTATGGGA